ATTCACGTTACATTTGAATGTTTACAAAACGTTTCTAATATGTATATTCAATCGAATGATATTTTGGGAAGACAAAATTACAGTATGTATATTCATCTTACAAAAAAATGTGGCAAACTGGCTCCATACCATGGGTTATAAAATTCCGTGAGCAAGTTCAGTAACCTTGCAACCATGGAACATGGCCAGAGAACTCAAAACCTTGGTCTATTAAGCAATTTGAAATTGAGCAAAGAGGTCGAGATTCAATGCCGTCAGATAATAAGAAAATATGATAACACATACACTTGAACAGATTGATGACTGGTTTGCCATGTGACTGTATAAACTTGGTTTTACCATGAAATTGAAAACTAAATAGTTTATTTGAATACTACTGTGTCTAACATTGATCCAAGACATTGTACAATATTTGAGGTCATCAAGACTTCTACATGTTCTTCAAGATGTCTTTTTGGATCTAATTTGCCAACATTTTTCACTGCCAATTGTTCAGCTGTCATCTGATCTTCTTCCTCAACAGCCTAGAAATGGAAATATAAACAGAGAAGGTGAATAAACTTGTTCAGGAATAAATTTAATTCAAATTAAACACTAGAAATTGGGCATCTTAAAACATTTGTTCCCAGCAATATGTCTACAACAGATGTAACATATTTTTGTTGTTGTTGAAAGTTTAATTTTTTTCTTAAGTTTGTACCACATTTATGTTGATCATATTTTGGCAGAAATCGATACAGAAAAACTGAGAAAAGGAACAGTATCCGATAGCATCCAATAACCAAATAAAATACTAATCAATGCTCAATGCCCACTGTAACACAAGCTTAACATTTTGATTATGTTTTCGATAATGCAATTTTAACACAACCTTCAGCATGATAAGAAAAAGTAACCTTTTTAACTAATATTCAATATATTTTAGACATACCTTGTTGTAACTTTTAGCTAGCTCTAACATTTCTTTAACTGTCTTCTCATTCACAGCACAATGTTCTTTGTAATCTTTAAGCATTAATCCATCCATCCAGCTTTTCTTATGTAGATTCAGCAGCATCTGCAATTGTTATAAAGGCTGGAATTATTTTGTGTGGTACCAAATGACAGGCTGTGTGATTTCTAAGGTTGTCATGTTAAAGTCAATATAACTTTGGAAAAAATGGTACTGCTGGAATTTTATTCTATTGTTTGAATTGTAGTCAAAGTCAATTTCATTATAAGCTGTATTAGAGACTGATAATGAAATTAATGTTGGATCAACAGAAGCTACCAGGGATACACTCAACTGTCATTGTAGCCATGTTTTTTCAGAATGACAAGTAACCAATGAAGGATTTTGATCGGAATGTTTGTAATCAGTGACAGAATTCAATTTCTGTCACACACAATCAGTGTTCGCCCCAAAATTTTTTCATAGAGTCGCGGCTAATTTGCATAATAATTAGCATATAATTAGCATAAATTAACATATTGTTTGTCATATGGGGAAATAAAACAAAACCAGTTTTTTTCCTTTTTTTTCTATTTATTTTATGTACGATCTGTATACAATTATTGCACTGCACGTTCAGTATTGCAAATGTCCTGCAGAAATACTGAGTTTTCTGTTTCTTTGCTTGGCCCAGCAATCAGCAACTTTATAAAACCCTGTTCAGTCCCGGTAAATTAAACATTGGGTTGATTATTCTAATTGCTTGTCTTCCGTTTCTGTTGTTTTTCGGTTAAGTACAACAACTGTTATGAGTCACAATACTTACGCTACTATGTTCGAGCAATAATAGTTTTTAGCAATAATAGTTTAGTAACTGTCTTTATGTATTTTTTTTAAATCAGTGATGTCTGTTCAACACAATTGTGAACAATTCGAGACAACGGAGGTCTGAATTACGAATTGTTGCCATTGTTATACTACGTAAAATTGAGGCTTTTCTTCCAAGAAATAACGCAATTTCCACACGTTTGATTAGAATTCCCGATTTCTTGATAAATATATTATTTTCAATTATGCTTCACTTAATTCATCCGAATCTGAGCACGATATGCGATTCGAGTGGGAAGTTCACACTCGCTGGATCTTACGTGGGTGACGCCATCTTGGATTCACAATCACAAGGTCAAAATTGTTTACATCATAAATATATATTTTTTCACATTTTGATCTCAAAAAACAAATACAATATCAAAAATACTGACAAAAATCAAAACTTAGAATAATAGTACGCCTACATTTCTAAAAATATTAATGAAAATACGTTTCGTACACACCGGAAACATGTGGCTTTTGACCCCAAGTGTGACTATATCATTTGCATATGAATATGCATTTGGCAAAGAGCGTTTGACACCGGGGCTTACAGCTTTGTCTTTATAGAACTGCTTTGTTTTTTTTTAAAACGATATCCAACCAATGAGAAACAACAGGGGATTATCCCGGGAAATTGGCGTTAATACAATGCATTTGTAGATTTAACTAGTTAGCCAGGAAACTTTACAGTCTGTGAGAGACTGAAGAAATCAGATCACGGGATAAATAATAGCATCGCGGAGGAAACACATAGCGCTGCGGGCAAATCCAATCGCGTCGCGGCCCGTGACGCTGTTTTGGCCTGGGGAGAACACTGACAATAACATACCATTTAAACGTTGGTGAAATTGTTTATCCCGGAAATAAGAAAAAAATTCAAATTTTCGAATAAGTGAATATACGTTTTAAACAGATGCAGATATGATACAATGTAAATTCTACTATTTTTGGTGCCAGATACATACTAATGAGTGAACATAAATATCTTACCTTTTGCTCTAATTCATTTTTCCTATAGTTAATAGCAATAGAATAATAATGTCTGTTGAGACCATGGATGAGTGCTTGTATCGATGGTTTTTGTAAATGTCCTAAATTAGATGTGGTTTGTCTTGGTTCTTGTCCTAATACCATCATGTTTGGATTAATTAAACGGAATGCATCAATCACTACCTACAACAAGATTACATCAAATATGAGAGCATTATATAATGATGAAATTAGTATATCTTTTTTACCACCAGTTCCCTCTTTTCATTACAAATTTACAACATAGTCCCGTTTATCATCTGCACTTTTCTTCAGAAGATTGGAACAAATATAGATGAATTTATGAGTAAAACAGAAAATTGACTCATAATCTGTCTGTTGGCTCCAAAATTAGGGTACATTTCCAGAAACATTGAAGAATTTAAGGAAAAAGTACAGACAAATTTGGGTAAGAAAGTCTGGTGGTGAGAAGGTTAAATCAAAGTTGCATTCATGACATGCATCATCAACCTGCTAATGGAAGAAAGAAAAATAAGTACTTCAAAAAAATGCATATATGACATCTCCCCAATCAACACGGATAGATTAGAATGGATCCCTCTAATCGTGAATGACTTGGGCACGAAGTTGTTGAAAGGTTGAAAATTGCTAATATATATTGAATGTCATGAATACCCTGATGCATGAAGTCACGTCTATGATTGGATAACTGCTTGACCCTGTGTGTCAGCACAAGCTCAACCAGGTCAACAAAGTTTTCAGTTGCGTAATTTCTGATTGGCATCTAAATTAATCCAACTGTGAACCCGCATCATATACTTTTGGTGAAGAACAAGAATACCTAGTTTTATGAATCTTCATTTTTGACATAATTTGGATGCATGTCACAGCATTATTTTTTTTTTTAGCGAATTTGGGTTTTTTTTTACAAAGCTATATCAGAACTAGAATGCACTGTGTGCTTAAAATTTTCACTCAACCTGTCGATGCCAGATCATATTATGGTAAATGTTAGGTATGCCTGTCTGAATCTATTTCCATTCGGGAAAAAAAGAATAATTCATTAAATCACTCATTTTAAATCACTAATATCAATTAATGGAGTTTTCATAGTACAGACATGGACACATTAAGACAAATATGAAATTTAAGACATGCTATGCTGACTACTCTGACAACACTTGTACTTACTTTTCCCTTCACACTTTGTATAGGACAAATGAGAAATTTAAAACTTGCTATGCCGACTTCTCTGACAACACTTGTACTTACTTTTCCCTTCACACTTTGTATAGGATCCACAACTACAGCTACAGCTCTTTCTGATAATGCTTCGAAACTCTGTTGTGTATTGATATCTACACCAGATAACCAACACCCAAACCCAGGATGTGAATGATACCAGCCTACTACCATCTCGGGTCTGTGTAAACCAACAAAATACATAATATTAGAAAGTTGTCCTCGCCGAACAGTATGGTTTTGAAGAATTGTATTACTTAGGGAGCAATTCAGTTATTCAACACAAACAAGTCTTCATATTCACACATACAAGCCACTTGTACAAACTTTAGGAATTGGGTTTTTAATGATGGTCACCATTTTCTGCCAGAATTCAAGAGGAAGCTACCAGGAACTTAAAGTACCTGTATATCAGTTAGTGGACTGCATGTAATTAAATATTACAGTTCTAGTACAGGCTTTTGTTTCAGTGCAAGGTTAATGGAAATCAATCTTCTCTGGCAAAAAAATACATATTTGAACAGTAATATACTTAAACTTTGTTAAAATTTGTCAATAGAATTTCTACAACTTGATAACTTTGGATATCCGCTGCTGTTGCAATATTTCATGATGTCTTCTGACATGTAAAAGACTCTTTCACGAATTATTTTACCACACGCATACTTGTTTTATGTTAGCAGTTTGAAATGAAAGTTAGTTTATGTAGCAACTCAGAAAGTAGACTCTTACCTGCCAGTTTGTTTTAACATGTCTAACATTTTGGCTTGGAATACTGGATCGACAGCCTCAACACTGACACCCTATGAGGAAGGGATTGAAATAAACAAGTTGTGATTCATTTCAGAGGATCTTTATTATATTCAGATAGCGAGAGAAATTTATTCATGGTAATCCAATCACAAATGTGATCAAGTATGAGGACAGGAACAAATTCTCTATTCATTATAGATTTTTTTTTTCAAGGAAGTTGTAATTCCAATTTAACATTTATTTTAAATGAACCCTTAATTAAACCAAACACGCACACTTTTTAGGCAGAAAACTTGAAATTCCTGTTTCTCCAAACAAACCTCACTAATTGATATTCACTTTGAATTTTCAGTCGGTGAACACATGGAATGTATCAGATAATAGTGTAATTACTACCCAGTATAAAACAACACTCTTTTTACTGAATCGATACTGTCTGGTATACTGGTATCTAAGTTTATAATTGTCCTGCCATCTGCAATGATATATGGGAACATTAAAATGTATATAAGTACATGTATGTAAATACAGAGATTTTCATAGGAAACCAATAGTGTGACAGTATTGATACAGTGCTTTGTTGTACTGCCACGTTGATATGACTTTGCTATAGTCATTATCCTGACTGCTACAGTGGTTTATTTCCACTGTGCCAATGCTGACTTTTTAAAATCAAAGATTATGAAATAATTATGCCAATTTTTTGCAAATTAGTATGCAAGTTTTTGCTGCCACAGTGGTTTAAATTTTTCACTAGAGCTTAAATGATTGTGTATTACTTACTGTTCCTGACTGTGGCATGGCAAAAACGTCAATCACACGAACTGTATAGTCGTCCACAAACTCGCCCAGCATCAAGCCCATAACTTCCATAGGAACACCCGCACGACCATGTTTTAACATCTGCAAAATAAAATTAACTTTACATCAACCAAAATCCTATATTTTGAAAACCAGCTCCCCTGCCTGTGAAGTTTTCATTTTTGTCTCATACTGGATATATTTTCCTTGCGAGAATAGTCCATTGTGGATTTCAAGGTATAGGATTTTGGTTGATTCTTGAATTTACTACCATAAACGACTATCGCGCATCATCAGAAATCCACTCATCAGTAATTGTTCAGTTCCCTACCCCCTCCTTTCTGGTCATCATGATGAACATTGTCATCCCAAGTATCTATTGGAAGCCTGTGCTTTCAAGTTTTTGGTAAACATCAGTTATTGGATGACCATTAAATAAACCACATTATTATACATCTGTCCCCATAACACAATAAGTTACAGTGTGTCATAATTTTGCGGTATTTTACTGGGTATTTTCATTCTACCATATAAGCAAATGCGAATTCCAAATATGTTCTAAACTTTTTGGATTTCGGCATTCCTATGATGAATCCTTGGAAGGAAAGAGGTATAACAATAAGGTTATTACGAGGATACCACAAAGTATGCACTCAGACAGTACGCCGCCGCATCTGCAGTAGAAGTACCAAATTGATTAAAATCTGGTTCTATTGTTTGGTGTATATCACCTCAAACATTAGACCAAATGACTACACAAATCGAATTCAGGGAGTACACCTGATTTTGTTTTGATTTGTTAATGTTAACGTCCTGTAACATTTCTTACTTGCCAAATCTGTAAAATCTGAACATGATTTACACTGGCAATTGAACACATACACATGATTTCATGGCATTTGAACACATACACATGATTTCATGGCATTTGTGAAGACAAAATTTCTCAAAAATCAGTTTTTTTCACTGACACTCTTTTTCACAGCTACAAAATTCACATTTTTCACCAACTCATGAAATTCATCAAAATTTGTCTCTTGGGAAAGCTCCAGCAGGTTAGAAACAATGCACCATGACCATTCATTGAAAGGGAGCATAGCATGCATGATTGCATACAGAGCTATTTCCGAGTTACAAAAAGTTCTGCCATTATCATCTTACCTTTAACAATGCTAATGATGATATGTACACTTGTTCAGCAGTGTCCACCATTGGAGCATCACTTGGTGGAGTACCTTGTCCTAAACCTGGTATTCCACCACCACCAAGTCGTAATAAGCGATCCATGTTGATAATTTACTAAAAGAATTAAAAAAGATCAAATACATATTTATAAATTTCAAATAGAAAATATGTGTGCAAATTCTGTTACCTCCATCTTTTTTTAGATACACAGGGGGGGGGGGGGGGGCGTCGCAATAATCGTAGTTGGTCATAGTTGTGGCCGTATTTTATCATTTTTAGGGCAAGTTTCGACAATAAAGTAGCTTTCTGCATCTCAACAGACATTGTTTTATTTTTCCATGTGAATCTCAGCAGTCGTATAGATCGCCCCTGTGTACTTAACACGGTTTGTATTTCGCCTGCATTGTTCGCTACATCAAAGTTATGAGACTGGTTCAGGTTGTGAGCCAATCCTTACATAGCTTAGATTTATGATCCATATGATACAGCAGCTACAAGCGAAACAACCGAAAATAAAACCCAACGAAAAATGAATCGGGGCAGAGCTCCAGAAGGAGTACCTACACTTTATGCAATTTTTTTTTAAATTATGCTAATTTATTCATGACGTAGCAGTTTCTGTGCTCATGAATATTCATTAATTTGTGGGTCAATACTTTTTAAAAGGGGCGATATATTATTTTTGGGGGAAGAGTTAGAAAGGGGGGATCAGTAATCATTAGGGGGTCAATACAAAAGAAGGGACCCATTTGGAGAGCAGCCATGCTCCTCGTCTCTGTTGTTGCACGTGACCTACAGCTGTCAACTGTGTTCGTTCTTCGTCGACTTCGACTGGCTTCCATGTGAGGTAGTATTCTTGTGTTCTTTTTTTCTGACTTGAGTTTTTGAATTCCGCTGTTTATGTTTTTAACGTCTTTCATGTCTTTTGTAGGAGTGCCCAATCCGTGATTCGAACTTGCGATCTT